CAAGCTTCAAAGCAGGATAGGAATCAAACTTCAGGGGCGGATCCAGGAATTTGTTCAGGGAGGGGTGCACTGCACAAAGTTAACCCAGCGAGGGGTGCACCCCTTATATTCAAAGTGAAAAAACATTATTTTGCATTGGTTATCTTCGAAGTAGGGGAACAGAGTTGAACAAGGGAAGGGTGCGCACCCCCTGCACCCCTCCCTTGGATCAGCCACTGAACTTCCAAGAATAAAGAATCCTTTAACTTTGATTATAGCAACGCATGAGCTGGTTTGACTGTAATAAAGTAATTGAACACAACAGAATCAGAATCAAATATTTGAGTAGTCTCTGATATATTAGCTTTTCTATCTAACCAAATCAATACAGTTTACACACATGAGCCATATTTACAACACGGTCAGTTACATTACAAGAAGTATTGAAACCTTAGCAATCGTCCTAAAAAGTACATTACAGGTTGTTTACGATGACGTTACCAACCACTTTTCTATACACAGGTTCACTAGTCAAACAGTAAACACTCAATCGAGGTTGGAAGATATTGAAAATTTTACCTATTAACCTCGATTTGATGCCTGTTTGATTATTGGACGAATGTATATTTTGGTCAATATGTTCTTCCTTTTAGAATTTATGTTAAACATACTAAAATAGATCTACTAACATAGACACTAGAGCTGACATGTTTAAAACTGACGTCATTACTAGTCATGACGTCAACAATAGATGTTTTTTGTTTTCTTTACATGACCGCCATGTYGTGCTTGCTTTAAGAGAGGTTTTCATCGCCGTCCGAGTGGCAATGTTACACCAACGCGATAGCTAGCAAACGTGCTTAATATGTGACTTCACCGCCAGATCACAGTTGTATTTACGCAATCCAACATGGCCGCCCTGGATTTCGAAATTGTTGAATGGTTTCCGAATTATCAAAATAATCTACACTATTATAACAATAAGAAAACAGTACAGTTAAAGTAGAATTGTTATATATATTATATATATATATATATCTTATCTTCGGCATATCTATTTCAAGTTCAGGTTAAGTGCATACTGAAGACTTGAGAGAGTATATTTATTGACTGGTCACGTGATAAACGCTGTCATATTGCAAAATTAACCTGGCCAATGACAGCAGATGTTTTCAAGGTTTAAAGACCTTTTAGACTTGATGCCGATGAATACAATTATGTACCATGCTTGGGTCACGTGATGTAAAAATATGACGACAAAGTCACGTGACCGTCAACAAATCTCATCGATATTATGTACAATAAGTTGCTCTATTGTATCGGTTGGGAAGCACACTTAACGATTCTTCACGCTATTTTATATTAATGTAGTTTCTAAGGATCATGTAGAAAAAGGCCGGCCAATGGGCTTGGCTTGGGGATATTGACCATTAAAAAAATATCTAAAAATAGAGATCGTTAGGGAGATGGTGGCGATCGAGTGATTTCTCGTGACCAGGCCTTGAGTCTTCAAAAATTCATATGGTTTATCAATGCACCAAATCCACTTAGGCGTAATGTTTGCCCATTTCAGACCACGTGTTATTCTTGAGAATGATATTCTTAGCTTTACTTGTACTCATATTCATGTCTTCTCACGTGCAACCGTTAAACAAAGAAATGATACTCTAGGAAATGACACGTGGTCTGAAATGGGAAAACAGTGGATTGGGTCTATGCTATTGAAACACGCTAACGTATCACGTGACCATTTGTCGCCATATTAGATGGCACAAGGCCGGACATATTGATGTCAAATAACATTCGATTTATTGGTAAATACATGAGTAGTTACATTAGAGTGATTTTACTTCGCCCGTGAAAGAATAGTTAACGTAATCCACAGTAGTAGACACGAATTCAATTGTTTTCTTTTGTATTTGGACTGTCAGTCACTATAAGTGATAAAGCTTTGTTTCACGGGTTACGTAAAATCATTGTAACTCTACTGAACCATTACCACTTGAGTATTCGTGGGTTTAACAAATAGACCCCTTGCATGTGACTTCAAAACAGCTCCACTTGGAGGAAAAAATCTCATTAGAATTGGAAACCTATTGTTTTGCTCTCAAAAGTGAGCTGCATTCYGAGGTCTATTCATTAAGGCGGCTAGTGGTCACATGATTGGCTAGAAACTATTGCCTTAGTCAGCCATCTTGGCGAAAAGTGACGTATGAACAGCCTATACGGACTATGATACCCCCACCAACAGAGTGAAGGGGATGAGGTTTGGCATATGCTTTACTCTTGGTCGTGGACGTTTTAGGACACAAGGGAAGCTTCGGTGTACATTTCCTGATCGACCTAGAGCGTAATTCCCGCTTACAGATCTTTGATAGATTGAGTCTGAATTTGAGTTGTCGGGAAAAAATTTGCGAAGTGGACTTTTCTCACTTTTAAGTGATAATAAAAATTCATCATTTTTGGCCAAATTAAAGTCCCTTTTCGAATGCTACCAATGTACGAAGGAACAGGTGTTTACTAAAAGGTCTTACACTATTTACAGTTCGCGTGACTGTCACGCCTTCCTTTGTAACGCTCAATGGTATTTCACCACAGATCACGATCAATATTTCTAACACTTTCCGGCTCTTTCTACGACAGCCGTTAGAAAATGAACTCAAATAAAATAGATCGTATTTTTGCTGAAGTCAAAAAAAAAA